CTGCGCCTGTGCAGTTTCCATCTTGGCTGGGTGGAGTCCGTGCTGTGACAATGAATTGGCCATCAGGCACGACCGGACGATGCATTCGAGTCCTGAATTTGGGTAGTCGAGGAGATCAACAAAATCAGTCGGCCATCCTAAAAGCAGTGATTCGTGTCGGGAACGCACGGCCAACAGTCTATTGCGGCCACCGGGCTGAATCCCTACAGTTGGATGAACTGTTCCGTAACGCGACACTAAACCCATTTGTCCCCTCTTTGGCCTCTGGGCTGGAGGTAAGGTAGTGGGACGTGTGTGTGCGTGCGTGCGTGCGTGTGTGTGTGTGTGTTCTATGTTTCTTTGTGTGCATGTTCTGCTGCTGGTAGATAGATTCTTCTGATATGGAGTCACATTTCTGTGAATCAAAGCTTAATTATATTCCTGCTTCTTCTTAATTAGTTGCTCAGAGTGACAGATGTCATCGGGATGGAGTCAGATTGGAAACGTATCTTAGTCTTCGGTCGGAAACTCCTTAAATAATGTCGGTGTGTATCTCATTGGCCTTATTAGCGGCCTGCTTCTTTCTAGCTTTCTTCCAAGTATCAGATAAGTTTTCACTTAAACCAGGGGAAAGGGCCCTGAGAGCACCTATGTCAGACTGAGGATAACACATTTCCCAACTTTGCAATTTGCAAGAATGAGTGTTGATTTCTAGTGATTATATATTTCACACGCACTCTCTGTTGGCAGCTGGTGACGATGGTATGGGAGATACCTTTCTGTCTCATGGCTGTTAACCTCTGACTAGTAACGTGACGAGATTCAAGACCAAATCAGCCGTACATGAGATACTAAAAGTGTCCACTGACAACCACATAACTATAATGATTTTAACAAAATAAGTAAATAGTGAGTGAGTTAAGATTTAAAAATAAGTAAATAAAAAAGGACAACCCCAAAAACAATTGGGACAACAGATGTATCTCACCCAGGATGCGTTGGCTGGTCGAACCCATTAAACATTTGCAAAAGATTATGAACATACCCCAAACTGCAACCTTTTGAATTAACAAGATTGTCAGATGGACTGTTTTCCTGGCTGCGGAGACTCTTTCTTGCCACGTTTCAAGTATAAAATGCTGCAACAGACGTTCCCCTGCCTGTGTGGCTGGAACGGGATTACTGTTACTATTGAGAATATAATTTCAAGTACTGATTGGCACGTCAGATCTCAGAATTGTGCATTGCTGTCAACAGCTGATTCCAGTGAAAAATACTTTGCAGTCATCATTGGTCACGTGACACCACTGACATCGTCGTTTGGCTCGGATGACTGCGTGGCTTTGACGAATCCGGACAGTCTGGTCCAATATTCGACCTGGTATTGCTGATGTTGTGGATGTTGCAGTGGTCATCCTTTGGCGTACTTGTAAGTAACGGCTCTGGAGTTTTCAGCCATTTTGTTAATATCGAGTGATACAGTTTTGTGATGGTGTTTGGGAACACATTTAACGCCCTTGATATGATCAATTGAAATCCCTGCACTGTTGGAATTTATGATGCACCTGCATAAGCCGCACAGAATATGATCTTACAGTTTGCATGTGAAAGCATTTAGGCCAATTTTCAGGTCTGCGTTTTTTGAGACAGTGGCGACTGGAGTCCCCACAAACATCAGGTTTACAATTACCTTACATACTGAGGGTATCTCTCTTATTATGCAACTGGCGGCCACCTTTGACTAGTCTGTGTCACAACGAGGTCACAAAATGGAGCTATCATGGACGTGTTAACAAAAGAACGCATCTTGTTTACGGTGAGCCGTTACACTGTTTGAGTCAAACTTAGCAGTTGTTTTTGGAAGGTTCATTGACGCATGTGTTTATGATCGTTATCGAATAGCATCTTATACCATGCAACCGTGTAAAAGTAAGTTTCTGTTGCAACTATACATATGAGCATTAATTAAGCACCACCTGTTTCCAAGGCTGATTTTAAAAAATGTTGGTCCAAACAGACGATAATACACGAGCATACTGGATTGCATGTGTGAAATACGTGCTTAACACATATCTTAAGAGCTATATGGGTCGCATGATCATGTGCTGCGAATGCGCCAAGCACATTCGGATATATACTTTACTGCACAAGAGTTTTCTGAACTGATCTAGAGAACGACAGTACTACACCTATGCAGGGGGAACATAATGGAAAGTTACTGGTATTCTGATACTGTGATGTCCAGCGTTGTGCTGGCTACATCAAATCCGTAACTTGTGGCCATGAATCATTATTTGAGAGCTGCCTGACCATCACATTGGTTTGAGTAGTCTTGGTGACCGGCAATGGTGATATTTACGTTTTTTGTGTATTGCTCTTAAATTGCAGATGAAATGTTACCGACTTATATTTCTGTTTTGTTTTTGTTTTAATCAGAGTAAAATATGTTACACATGCCATTTTATTAAGCGGAATTAGGTTTAAAAATCGTATACAACACCATGCAGTGTTTTCGTAATTAGTACAGTGCATATCAAATAATGTAAGTGGTACTTGGTGGCATGGTTTCAGAGACTGACAAACGTTTATGGACGGTAGAGTTTAAGAATGACATGGCGTGACAAAGAGGTTATAACGCGTGTCTTTTTGGTGATTATACATACCATGGATTAGAAGTAAACATGTACATTTCCTTGCAGTTTGTGACAACTTCTTGTTCTGAAATAGGCTCACAAGATTATGTGAGATTATCAAGGTCATCACTGATGCAGATTAAATAGAAATGGGAGCACACATGTTAAACTTAACTCCTACCGGTCCTATCTAAACACTAATTGTTAGGTAGAGTGGCTCAAATCTGATTCGGTTACAATAATTTCGTACATGGTAATCCCTGTTTGATGGTTGCCTGAACAATAATGGAAAATCTTAATGACATTTTAGATGGTGTAGTTTGTTAAATCCTGAAAATAAAATAGTACTATTTACTTTTTGAAAATCATACTGAAGAGACTAAATTGGTTTGAAACCGTACAGAAAGGTTGCGTGATCAGAAAGGGAATATGTGGTATAAATATTTTCATTTCATAACTCATCCCATTTGATAGCTGAAAAGTTGTTAGAAGTCGAAATACAGATTATCTTTGAGTAAAAAATCAAGGTTGACCCTTTAGCTTGTTATTGCATGTTATTGTATCGTTACCATATATAGTGTGACCTAGAGGTTCAGAAAACAGTGCTACTTTGTTTTATAAAAAGACTGTCTAAGACATAGATACAATGGAAATTTACCCTGAGAGTTTCTTAAGGTTAATTGTAGCTCCTAACTTAAGTTACATTTGAACTTTAAATCATTTTCTTCTAAATATACCTTAATTACGTGTGGACACCAGGTAACATACACATGTGGTGTTAATGACATAGTACACTATTGGTGAAACTCTCATAGATAGATCTGAGCTGGGCAAGACGGCTAGACTGTTTGATGTCAGTTTCACAAATTGTGGTTTAGTATTATAACATTTTTAAATGGCGTAATGGTAAGAAAAGAGGCACAATAGGTCAACTATCTACATGTACAATCGTGTATTTCGTAACTGGAAATAGTATGCGTACTTATATTGTCATAAGCCTTCTGGATGCGTTGGCGTTCATTGTTTACAAAATAAACACGAGGACAAAGGGTGTGTCTGAGCGTATTATATTCACTTTTATTAAATGAACGTAAAATCAAGTTTAGATCTCTGACAACAGCTGAATCAAATTTACCATATGTATTTGTCTATTATATTTTATTCTAATCCTTTAAATGTAAGAGCAGACACTAAAATTCAACCTGGATAACATTTTGATATTCGTAAACTATCATTTGAAAAAATACACTAGATGTCTTAAAAACACGAAAGTGCTTCGGTTAAGAAATATCATTTTAAATGGAACCTTGGAATGTTGTCATTTTTATCAATGCGTGTCTTTTGCTTTTGATTGAGTATATATAACTGGAATTACACAGCGATTATTTGATTCCAAATTTCCAAATCCTGTTTATCAACATTAGTTTGAATCAAATCACTACGGGATAATACCAGCTGTCGGCTTTATACCCACTTGAGGGAACGAACATTAACGACCTGAGGGCTGCCGCTTCATTCTCCAGTGAATACTTCACCATTTTGGCAGCTTAATTGAATTTACAACAGTGTCAAGGAAGAGCAAATACTGATCAACAAAAATCGTGAATGATAACGTCCAATGATTTATCAAACAGACAAATATTATCAAACATTTTGTGTTTTTCCATCACAACTGTATATACATTATTTTAAGAAGATTAGGTACACAATGCCATTTAGAAAGTGGTCAAATGTAACATATGTCATATTTGGGATTGCACTTTCTTAGAAAAGCACAGATTCTAGTACTTTTGTTGGGTTGAGTCCCATCCGGGATTCGAACCAACACTCTCAGAGTCAGGCACCTAATCGCCAGCACACAAAGACAGACGCCTAGACCGCTAGAAAGTGCCATCCCAAATATGACATATGTTAACTTAAAGCTTAACATAATAAGGAATCCAAAAGCGACAACACCGACGTTCTAGTGACATGTTTCGACGGTGAAAATTGTTGTTGAAATGGTACACTCAAAACCGGTAAACATACTTCTATATAAACGCCTAGGGATTTAACGAAAATATGATATGGACCTGAGATGTGAGTATACTTTCACAAGTTTCATTGACGCAGAAATTCAGTTTTACGGAACAGAAATAATTATCTAAGCTATAAATATTCTAACTTTCATCTATTTCATTGTCTCATTTTCATGAACTTTTCAAAACCAATAATATCAATGATTTAGCGGCTGTTTCTATATCCAAGATTTACATGGCAAAAGGGAAATGTGTATTTTCAGCAAAGAACTGACTTGATTCATTTATGTTTTATCTAATTGATTCAATACCTAAAGGTAGGGGAGAAAGCGACCATTTGAAGGCTAAAAGTTAACTATTTAATACTTACTTTCAGCGCAAGATGTTGCATCTGGCCTATACCATCCATCCGTACAGAGACACTTCATGCCTGTTGCAGTCTGTATACACAAAATGTTGGAGTCTGAGGTTGTTTCACACTGGGACATCTCAGTACAATCATCGCCGAAGGCTTTTTCTGAAATGTATCATTACATACAGCACACATAGTTATGAATTGTCAGCAAAATCCATGACACAAATAATAGACAACATAGAACTAGAAATTCAAATTATAATAAACAAGAATTCAATTTTACATGCGACATAACCTGAAAATAATTTACTCTTGGCAACCTTTTCGTTTTGTAACAGTACTGCTTGAGTAATCAAAAGATATTTGGCAAAACATCATGTGATCTGAAAAATATGCGACACCCAGTCCAATTATATGTATATAATGTTAGTGAAATCGCTATTATATATCCAATACGAGACATGTTGTATTTCAGTCTTAGAGAATCAGTGTACGGTATAAGCAAAGGGGAGATAGCTATGTATATAGGTAAGTACAAGTAGGCAAACACACACACTCACACTTGCTCTTGTAAGATGGAAAAATGGTTCAGGAAGAAGGTTGGTGTAGGATTCAAACGTTAAGGTATTTGGATTGGATTTAAAGGTAGGCAGGTACAGAAGATCGAAGGGAATAGGAAGGCAGGTATGGTTTGTTGGCAAGTTCATTCATGTACCCTTTCTTGAAAACATGTATAACACTTTCGATATGTCAGCTCTCTTGAATGCGAATAGCAATACTCTGCCATGATAAGTGTTGTTGTGCTCTTACTTGGATAGAGAATATATTAATAAATGAAGACTGTAGAAACACTGTGAGTCGAGTTTAAAGCTTTTTCAACAAACGTATACATATGCCCGGACTTCTCCCTTCTGTGCAAGTAATCAGACATTAGTTATGATTCCTTTGGCGCAAGTAAGTCGACGTCTATTGAAACCAGTTGTAAACCGAATTTAACATGCTCGGTGGCATTTTATACCTGACAAAGGCTAAAAGCTAATTTAAATGCTATCGACATCTATAAAAGATGAGTGACAATATCGTGACCATGTGTTTATGAATCAACATTAAATGGTGATGATAACAATGTTCCCGAAACGATGACATTTGTCACACGCACACGCCAAGGCCAGACAATTGTTCATCCTAAATGTACACAAGAACGTGTTGTACAGGTCAAGGCAACGAATTGCACCACATATAGCTTATGTTTCTGATGTGGCAAATTTGAAAATGGTCCCTACATGTCAATGATAAAGTTTTACTGGAGCCTTGAATGTGGTAACCTTGACCAAATAACTACGGACTACTGTTTGTCGTAGTAGTGTGTGTCAGCACATTCAGTTATACCGGATACATTAAAGTTGCATTGCTGGTATTACACTGAGTAAGATAATCACATCAGTTCCGAAAGGATGTAGTGCCTGGCGCGTTCGCTGTACAAGCAAGATGGTAAGCAAGGTTGTCAGAGACGGGAAATTTGCGGGAACTGGAAGACAAATATTATCAAATTTGCGGAGGCTAAACATTAAGGTCTGAAACATTACTCTGAACGCAAGTGTCGCTGGCTGCGTCGTAGTAGTGAGTGTCATCACATGCACAGATGCCGGATCCATTACAAACTGCATTTGTGGTATGACACTGTGTAGTATTGTCACAGTTAACGCCGTAAACCACTTCTGAAATTGAACATGTGTATTCAATACTATATAAATAATGGTTAGCATTCTCATGAATATGTTAACAGTACGTGTCTCCTGAGCTCCTTTTGTTGCTTACACTATGGCTGACATGTTGCCGAGGTGACTTTAACTCAGAGAACAAGACACAAGAGAACTTATAGGCTTTAAATTAATTCTAAAGAATAAGTCATTACTTTCAAAAGATAAACTGGAAAATGTAGTATATTTTGTAATTGAATTTTCGGAGACAATGGTCTGAAATGCAAAACCCAAGCATAGATAAAAAAACAAATACACAAGGATTCTCCAAATGGGTGATTTGGTAAATATATACAGTTCCTAGAATGGGACCAAAGAAGTCGGATAGTTGTTATTTTAAGCTAACTAAAATCCTTTGAAGGTATTGAATAACTAGAAACTATGGTGACTGACATAACACCTGCAGTGAACTCTTCCTGGATGGTGCTCGTGCTACATACCAAAGAATTACAACTCATTATTAACAGCATATGTAATAGTTACATCTAGTTACAGCAGAGATATTCAGTGTGCAATTCAAGGTAATTCATTAGTCCCTAATTCATCCAAACCTTCATCGCAACAAATGCATTGAGAGATACCCACACATGTAACAACAAAATTAACGTTGTCCATATTGGTTGTGACCACTATTGGTGTTGTTAGAAGCGAGGTTGGGGTTGTTCAGATTATGCAAAACGGTACTGAAGGAGATGTTGCAAATGTCCACCAAAGACTGACCCAACTGAATTAGCGTTACCGAATGTTTCTGATCTAGTTGTGGGCGTTCTGACATTTCATTCTAGGTGTGTAATGAGGGTGAGATGCCAACAGAAACTGGCCATGGCAGTACAGCAGGTGTACACAAAACAAAGTGTAAAGGCAGTAATGAATCGCTTCGTTGTAATGGTTGTCAATCAAATCATGGGTTTGTGCAATACGAGGTGCTGAAGGAATATTTGCCTTGAAGTCAGAAGTAACTCTGTCCCTATTATCCATCGGTACACCATAGTGTTATCATATGTTCTTTATGCTTGAGTATACAATTAACTTGAAAAACGATAAGTCGCTTTGAAAAGATCATTTCGATGACCAAACAAATACCTTTTATTGCCATTTTGAATGGTATATTTTAAACGTAGTACCGGCTAATCTAATAATAGAACATTCATATGTATTTACTATGTGCTATGCTAAGAAGGATAACGTGCATGACACTACTGGTGATAGAAGGTATATTCTTTATACAAGCAAGGTGGTAAGCAAGGTGACCAGAGACGGGAATTGCCCTGGAACTGGAGGACAGATGATTTGAAATTCTAGTTTGAGGAGGCTAAACAGTAAGGTCTGAAACATTACTCTGACTGCAGATGTCGTGGGCTGCGTCGTAGTAGTGAGTGTCATCACATGCACAGATGCCAGATCCATTACAAATTGAATTGTTGGTATTACACTGTGCTGTGGTATCACAGTTAGCTCCGTAAACTACTTCTGAAACTGAACATGTTTCTACAATACAACATACTTCATACTTTGCATTTGGCATGCATATTAGACTGACGTACTTCACAGTATATATTCCCTTCTTTTTGGCTGCTCGTACTATGGCTGACATGTCGAGGTGTCTTTTACATGCAACTCACACAGAGAGCTAATAGGCTTTCGATTCATTCTCAATGTTTAGTCAAATTACTCATAAAGAGAAACTAAAAAATGTAGTATATTCTGAAAATAGAGTTTTCCGAAACAAATGTCTGAAATGTCAAACAGAAAATCCAAACATAAATCCTGAAAACAGAATATCAAGTAAATACTTCAGTTTGGTGATTAGGTATGCAGTTTCTAGAATGGAAAGAAAAACATGAGTTAGTTGTTGTTTTGAGGCAGCTAAAATCCTTTGTAAGTATTGAACAACTAGTATCTATGATTGCTAACACTTACTACTAATTGCATAAACATTAGTCCATATACATCTAGTTGCAATAGAGACATTCACTGTGCAATTCAAGTATGCTTTGGTTATTTGCAAGTCCCTAATTTACTAAAACCTTATTCATAACAACATCATTGACAAAAACCCCTACATGTACTTGGTATCAAGGGTTGGTGTAACAACAAAATTAACGTTGTCCTTATTGGCTGTGACCACTATTGGCGTTGTTGCAAGCGAGGGTGGGATGGTTCATAAACTGGAAAACAGTGTAGAGGATGATGTTGCAAGTGTTCACCAAACACTGCCCGAACTAAACTAGCATTACTGATATTTTTTTATCATGCTGCGGAATTTCATTCTAGATATGTCCTGTGTGGGAGATGCCCGTAGAACACTGGCCATGGCAGTAAAGCAGGTGTACACAAGACAATTAGTCAAGGCAGTAAAGAATCGCTTCGCTGTAATGGCTGTCAAGTAAATCAAGGGTTTCTGCCAAATGAGGTACTGAAGGAACATTTGGCAAGAAGGAAGAAGTAACGCTGTCCCTATTTTCCATCAATATACCGTTGTGTTACTATATAGTCCTTATGCTTGAGTATACAATTTACTTGAAAAACAGTTAAGTGGCTTTAAAAAACCCTTTTCCTTGACCAATTAAATACCCTTTATTGTCATATCGAATGATATATTTTGAACGTAGGACACGCAAATCTAAACATAGAACATATAAACTAGGTGGTATGTTAAAAGGATAAGATGCATGGCGCCACTGCTGATAGAAGAACTTTCTTCGTACAAGCAAGGTGGTAAGCAAATGACCAGAGATGGAAATTCACTGGAACTGGAAGACAGATGTTTTGAAATCCTAGTTTGATGAGGCTAAACAGAAAGGTCTGAAACATTACTCTAAGTGCAGGTGTCGTTGGCTGCGTCTTAAGCAGTGAGTGTCATCACATGCACAGATGCCGGATCTAGTACACATTACATTGGTGGTATTACTCTGTGTCATGGTATCACAGTTAGATCCGTAAACCACTGCTGAAATTGAGCATGTGTATACAATACTTAATAAATCATGGTTTGCATTTTCAAGAATATCACGACAACCATATGTACTTAACAGCACGTGTTCCCTGAGCTCATTTTGTTGCTCACACTATGGCTAATGTGTTGGCGAGCTGTAGGTAAGGGTTAAGGTAATTAACTAGAAGTGGATATTGTCAAGTCTACTTTGAGAAGGCTAAACACTGAGTAGACAATTTACTTGACAAACAGATATGTCGCTTTGAAAAAAAAACCAACAGTTCGATGACCAATTAAATACCCATTTTGAATGGTATATTTTAAACGTAGTACAGGCAAATCTAATAATAGAACATTTATATGCATTTACTATGTGCTATGCTAAAAATAGGATAAAGGCGCTACCAGTGATAGAGGGAATATTCTTTATACAAGCAAGGTAGTAAGCAAGGTAACCAGAGATGGACAATTCACTGGAAGTGGAAGACAGATTTTTATCAAGTCTAGTTTGAGGAGGATATACACTAAGGTCTGAAACATTACTCTGAGTGCAGGTGTCACTGGTTGTATCGTAGTAGTGAGTGTCGGCACATCCGCATTTGCCCTTTCCTGTACAAGTTGCATTGCTGGTCTTACACTGTGTAATGTTAACACAGGTATCTCCGTAAACCACTATACAATACTATATAAATCATGGTTTGCATTCTCATGAATAGCCTGACATACTTAACAGTACGTGTTATCTGAGCCCCTTTTGTTGCTCATGCTATGGCTGATATGTTGCCGAGTTGACTTTAACTTTCAACTCACAGAGAGAAGTAACCAAGTAGTCATTAAAGTCACTCTAAATAATTAGTCATTACTTTTAAGATACAAACTGGAAAACTTAGTATATTCTGTTAACAGAGTTTCCCGAGACAAATGTCTGACAAGCGATACTAAAACACAAACATTAATCCAAATACACAGGAATTCGGTGTTTAGGTAAATGTATGTACAGTTTCAAGAATGGAACGAAGGTCATGGGTTAGTTGTTTAAGGGTAGGGTTTAAGCTAACTAAACTCATTTGAAAGTATGGAATAACTAGTATCTACGCTGACTGATATAACATCTGGAGTGAAATCTGCCTGGATTATGCACTTACGAGATACGAAAGAAGTACCACTCTCTTTCAACTATCTATTTGCAATAAAGACATTCAGTGTTAAATTCAAGTATTCACTAGTCCGTCATTCACCAAAACCTTCATCATAAACCTTCATTTTGAATGATATATTTTGAACGCAGTACAGGCACATCTATCAATAGAACATTTATCTGCATTTACTATGTGGCATGCTAAGATGTATAAAGTGCATTGAGGTACCGCTGACAGAAGAAATACTCTTCGTACAAACAAGGTGGCAAGTAAGGTGGCAAGCAAGGTAAACAGAGATGGGCAATTCACTGGAGGTGGATGTTGTCAAATCTAGTTTGAGGAGACTAAACACTACGGTCTGAAACATTACTCTGAGTGCAGGTGTCGCTGGTTGTGTTGTGGTAACGAGCGTCATCACATTCACATTTGTTGGTTCCAGTACAAATTGCGTTGGCGGTTCTACACTGCGTCACGTCACCACAGGTATCTCCGTATTCTACTTCTGAAATTGAACATGTGTATACAATATCATATGAATCATGTTTTAGACTGGTCGGAAATATCACGACAGCTTGTGTGAAATTCAAGTATACTTTGCTTATTCACTGGTCCCTTATTTCCTCAAACATCACCATAAAAACATCATTGACAAAACCACATACATGTACATGGCATGAAGAGGAGGAAGGGGTTGTGTAACAATGAATACACGTTCTCCATTGGTTATGACCACTATTGGCGTTGATACAAGCGAGGATGGGGTGCTTCAGATGACGGAAATCAGAATTCAGGATGATGATGAAGACAAACGTTTAGTCTCTGAATACATATAATGTTGATAGTAACAAACAAACGCCTATAAATTGAAAAGGAGCCCCAGGTTTTAGACAAGTTGAGATATCAGGGGAGACAATGTCTGAGTGAAATCAGTTCTGCCCGCGAAAATTACTTGTTGCTTACATTAAAGATAAACTTTACGTACGTAGTGTCCCTGTAATTTAATATTCGCGAATAGGTTCAAATGTTATTCTTTCTGATCATGTTGCAGACGTTGGTCCATTTATTCAAGTCATGGTAATACATCAGTTTTGCACTGAACGATGCCTCAAAGCATTTCTTTCAACACGTGTACAACGTCTGCGCGGGCATTATAATGCTGTATCCTGCATTTGCGCAAAGGGCTGACCATTTCCTCCAGATATGTTCTTCCATGATTTGATGAAACCTCATACCATGACACCTCGCTAACGTCTCAGAGACGTTCTCCTGGACTCATTTGTGAGCAATACAGAGTCCAAAACCGTGTCCACTGGACGCCAAATGTTGTCAACACTCAACTATGCCGGACATTATGCCGCTCCAGCGGTTGCATGTGGTTCTGCCACTAACTGGTCTTTACCGAGGAATGTTCCGACCTGTTTATGTAACCGTTTGGTATCGATTCTGAAGATGCAAAGCCAATGTATTTGTGGTGTTGACAATAGGCGACACTTTTATGGCCGACCTGTGGTATATCATGACTGTTGCCCTGATGTAAATAATGTCTCCAGACAGATGATATTGTGTTTCGGTAAACATTAAAACATCTTGTAAGTTTCTAAAATTTAATTTTCAGCAAGGTGTGGCTTCTGTTAGGATCGTGTAACGTAAAACAACTGGATACTAAAAGTACACTCGGTCTGTCACCTTGTCATAATCTATACTCCTCAGTTACAAATGTTGAAAAACTGATTGTCAATTAACTTTGCGAACAAAATAAAACTCACGCACATGTCTACTTCTCTTGCTGTAAAGCCTTATTAATGTGTTTCTCTCTTAATATTTAGCAGTTAATTGTGAATGAATGAAGTCAAGTATAACATACAGTATTAACAACATTTAACAACTACCTAAACTAAAATGGTAAAATTCAGACTTAAATACGATTACCCCAGCGCTAATCATTTGCCCCTTTTTGTGGTTCTGTTTAAAAACAACACTACTGGTTGGTAAGAACATATATCTGCTTTGAAACATTTGTCAGACGTGACTCAGATATACCCCAGCATTATACGACATGGAAGTACATAGATGTCAATAATTTTTACAATAGGCAAACAATTATGAAGAGATGACAATTTGCGTCAGACTTAACAGTTTGTGGAATCCATGCGGAAGGCATGATTAACATTTCACGGAAGGTTGTTCGGATACAGTTGAACTGATGTGTACATATTCATTAAATAGTGAGTGAGTGAGTGATTATTTAACGTCACATCGGCAATATTTCAGCCATGTCGTGACGAGAACACTTGACATTGAGATTATAAAACCTGCCGACAAAGGACAGTAAAGCAACTAGAGTATAACAGATGTAAAACATATGTAAAAACTAGTAATTGAATCTAAAACATTTTAACTATAGGGGACAAGACAATATAAAAATGGGCTATAGATCGCCAACAACTGAAGGTAGATCACCATACTAGGAGCCATGGGGACTTACATTACTTTTGCTACCTGCATGGATCCTAGCTGGATTTACACCATCCCTTCAGCCGCTGGCGATTGTAGGAAAATTTAGCCGACAGTTAAAATAAGTAAAATACTACGATTAAAATGTGATAATTTATATTTTACTTTGAAAGTTTTGGGACTTACGTACCCTCTCAGGAGGACATAATTTTACGGTACTTTAACCCCCTTTGAGGGCACAGCCACTAACAATCCAAGTTAACAATCTAAACTACCAATCATTAAAATACATCTATTTACAGAACATATGAATCAAAAATCATTAATCAAATCAATTTATTTTAAAAAAACAAGAATTAAATGAACATGGACAGTGTTAAAAAGATCCTTAACAGCTTTAACATTGAAATATTTATCCCTTATGATGGAGAATTCGACACAGTCAAGCAGGAGATGCTTGACTGTGACTCTCTCATCACAAGGGATACAAAACGGAGGATCTTCACCTTTCAACAAGTATTTGTGAGTATACCTTGTATGTCCAATGCGACATCGTCGCATAATGACCTCCTCAAATCTGGACTGACAACCCAAGTGAGTGTAACCAATATAAGGTTTTAATTCATGTAGTTTATTAATACCTACTTGGGTGTCCCACTTCTTCTGCATCAGATCACGGATGTAAGTTCTAATGCCAGCTTTGTAATCAGAATATGGAATAAGAAGTGGTGTCACAGATTTATTTAGTGCTGCCTTGGCAGCAAGATCAGCCATTGTGTTCCCAGAAATGCCAACGTGGCTGGGTAGCCAACAAAAGACGAGGTCGCACTGGCCAGTAGCAAGCTCATTATACAATTCAATAATTTCTAATAAAAGTGGATGTTTACAAGAAAGATTTTTAATAGCCTGTAGACACGAAGGAGAACCTGAAAATATTATATATTGTTGATATTTAGGGTGTTTATTAATATATTTAAGAGATGTTAATATGGCGTTAGCTTCTGCTGTGTCACGCTATGGCTGAAACATTGCCGATGTGACTTAAAATCTTAACTCACTCACTCACTCACTAGCTTCTGCTGTGAAAATAGAGCTGTTATCTGGTAGTCGAGAAGAGATTGTCTGGATCCAATGACAGTGGCACAAGCCACCGCGCCACCATCGTTGGACCCATCTGTAAATAAGGATTTGTATGTATTATATTTACTTTTTAATTGCTTATATTCTTGTTTATATTGGAATTCATTAGTTTCCGCTTTTTTTAAATGCTGTTAATGTTAAGTCAACTTGTGGCCTAACCAATTGCCAAGGAGGAGAAGAAAGAAGAAGGGAAGGAGATACATTGTCCAGCTCAATGCCGGCAGCAGAAATGAATGGTTTAATTCTGAGCCCAAGAGGCGGCACAAGAGCAGGTTTCTTAGAGTAAAAAACCACATAAAGAGGGTGAAAGACACAGTTTATTCATTAAATACATTCACCAATATACATGTATATACTATATATATATATATATGCCTATGTACGGTTCTGGTAAGGAGTTCGAGGATGATTACAAATATTGCAGTGTCTTAATGGTATAAAATCAAACTATTCGATGGTTTGTCGTAAATCCCCAAATATGATTAGCAGCATTGACCTCGTGCTATTTCATTCATTGCCAAATGAATGTACAAATACTATGCCACGACCAGAGCAGACGACTACGTACATCACGATAGAATACGGGGACTCCCTTACTAAATTGGAGGAAAATTCTTTTCTGATTACCTGCACTTGACGTTTCTGCAAAATTCATGCATTGACCAGTCCAGTTCAGAGAAAGAATGACACCCGAAGGATCACTCGCCTGTTTATTTTCGCTTGCCTAATTTCAACCAATGCTATGTTTTCGGGTTCCATTTATTACTTTCCCCTCATTTTCACCACTTTGTCGCGCGTTTTCAGGGAATCTATGGTCGAATATGAAGGTAACTGACTATGTCATTAGCAAACAGCGGTCCTCTCACTGGCATATTTGTTCCGATTCAGTACAGTCTGCCTCATAGAAAACACACATTCTCATTGTGTGAATTAATTGTGTACTTGTGTCGCTTCAACAAGCAGGTTGCAATTGACAGCCAAGTTCATAGTGATTTTCTTTCAGGAATATTCACTGTTAAACTGTTCAATTACAAGTAGAGAGGTTATTTGTGTTGTTATGGGTATATGATACTAAAGTTGCTAGGAGGCAGCAATGAAAACAAGTTGAACTAAATGAGAACTTACGAGAAGGGGCGGGAGTACTGCTCGCATTGCTCATCTGAAATTGGATGAAAAAGAGCTTCTTGAATGAACACGTAAATATTGCAGTAATTCATCTTCGCTAGTTTTTCTGTGTATGTATGCCCCTTGACATATTTGGTATGTGTTGTCTTTAATCTTCAATCAAAATACAATATAAGTAAAACGAACAAAATAGGAATGACAGACAGTAGGAAGAACTGAAGGACTGAGGATAAATTGTCATTGTCAGGTGATTACATAAACTATTTCAACACTGAAAGTGAATATGATAAAAATTTGGTGAAATCTTATCTCCCAAGATTAAATAACCATCCCTAATCGAATACGTTCACAGCTGAGAAAAATATGAATTTATTCATTACAATTTGCCATCAGGGATGTGTCTGGTTATTGAAATAGACTTTCCCTTTTCAGTGTTCATATTGTTTTATCTGCGATCTCTGAGATTCTTCTAGACAGAATATATAAGTCGTCTAAAGTCAGTTAAGTATCCTGAGTATATAAGACCCGTGAAGATCCCGGTTAGAATTGGTTTTCAGCAATCCATGATTGTCGTAAAAGGCGACTAACGATGGGATCGGGGGTTCAGATTCGCTGACTTGGTTGTCTGGTCCAGCCTCGATTATTTACTGACCTAAGGCCGGAGGTTTGCTAAGTACGACGTTAAACAAAGCAATATTTCTGGCTATATAAAGACGTGAAGTTCAAAATCTGCATCACTTCCGGCTTTCCATTCATGCAGATTATTTGAAGAAAGTAGGGGACAGTTGTTAGTACTTTTTATTCATGTCCCATATTTTAAGAGATATTAGCTATAGGAGTAATAAGAACGTGTACAAAGAGTAGCAAAGTATGGCAGTTGATGTCATGACCTGCACAGATCTTGAAGAACAATGAAACTTTCAAATAGTTGACTCTCTGGATAGTTAATACCCACTATCGCCAAAATAGTCCAACCACATCCGCTTGGAAACCCTGCTCGAAACATTAAACATGAAGAATCATGTCAGCAACATTTGCAAGAGAGCTTTTTATCAGTTGTTGAACATCAGACATATTAGTAGATATAATAGACACACTATCAGTTAAGTGTTCCATCCATGCATTTCTGACAACTGAATCAGCACACTCTACAGAGATGCAGTACATGGGCAGTTACAGCATGTTAGAAACACAACTACCAAACGCATAACGCGCATACGTGTGTAGGTGCACATTACACCAATATGGGTGTTCAAGCTTCTCGTGTTTGTTTACTATTCCGTTGATGGACAATATCAGGTCTATCTTCTGGAACTAGTCAATCTTTACAGTGAGAGAGTTAGGTTTTACGCCGCTCTTTGCAATATTCCAGCAATATCACGACAGGGGTCACCAGAAATGAGCTTCGCAAGTGTATGAAATAAGCCAAAATCCCAGCCAGACATCAGGGCTTGCCACTTCAAAATGTTCCCAGCCCAAAATGGATTTTACCAGACTAGACAACCCAAAAATAATTATTCAGATGTATGGAACATGTTATCTTAAATCGTTATCAGACCATCGGGCTGGCAAAGCTGTACATCTATCCCGTCTCGGGCGGTAGCACGGGCCTACTTTCATACACTAGCTTCACACATTGTACGCATGTAGGAGATCGAACCCGGGTCTTCGGCGTCACGAGCGAACGCTTTAACCGCTAGACTACACCACCGCCAAGATAGTCTTTACAAACAAAATAAATGCCTGCTTTGTTTGCACTGAATAGCACAGAGACACCCCTGGTGTTGCTGACGCCACTCGCTTGTTTATTTGAACATTTTAGAGATTTTAATATATTATGTATGAAGCTGTTTAGGTGTTACGTACTAAATCCTCACCCTAAAGAATATAACAAATTATGATTATGCTATGTAAGTAGTTGTAAAAGATTCACAAATTATGATGTCAGCATCATTCAAAATTGTCATACAATTAAACCCTAAATATACATGATATGACTGTGATACTGCATAGGACCATAGAAAATATGATATTGTAGTCTCTAATGTGAGTTACGTTCTGTATTTGTGTTGTATTTAGAATTTAATAATGAAAGTTAAATTTTGAATTACATTATTTCAAAGACGAAAGTTGTTATGAGGCAGTGTTATATCCTGTACAACAATGCTTAAACTGTGCACCTGTTCATCCAGCAGGGTGTAGTTTTGAGCTACATTTGGACTTGCGCTATATTGAGGGCGACCTTATTCCAGAATCATCTACCCGTGAGAGATATATAAGGGGGCCTAGCTACTGCCGCTCATCTCATATTTCATCTCAAGCCACAAGATCACTCTACAGTATGGGATACACTTTCTAGTTCTGAACCGAAGCAATACGAACCGAATGCCGATGGTTCGGTGCTCTGGCACTGTCATGGCAAAGAATTTTAGGACATGGTAGATGGTCATTCTGGGTTTAATTTTCAGAATATAGTTTCAATTGATAATCCTTTTTGGAAAGATGTTTTATTGGCATGAAAATTATACTGTAATAACAATACCATAGAAGCAGACAACATTAAGGGAATTTTAGCACAACCTTTATGGCTGAATAATAATTTCAAAAACCCAAAAATGGAAGTTTAACAATTAAGGACCTTTGCAATGAAGATGGTTTTATGTCTCTTGAAGATCTGAAGCTCAAATTTGTATTAGAGGTACATATATGGATCTTCGATATGTTTTCTATATCATACCTGAATCATGGAAATTGACCATGAAACAATACAGAAATATACATAACAATGATCTGGATGATAACTTTCTTCATAAAGATTTTATGGATTTGAAAAAAGGTACCGGTAATTATATAACGTTCGACATATGACATTGTCATATATTGTCAACATATGATTACACAATGCCATTTAGAAAGCAGTCACATGTAACATATGTTATATTTGGGATTACACTTTCTTAGTAAAGTACAGTTTCTAGTACTTCACTTTCCGGGATTCGAACCCACACCCTCAGGGTCAGGCACCCAGTCACCAGCACGAGTACTAGAATCTGTACTTTGATCTCCGTAAGATCTCCGTACGAGTTCTGTGCAGTCTCTCTATGCATGTTTGCCTCGGCCTGTCCCCAAGGAAATCGCACGATACAAGTTGGTCATGTGAACACAAAGTCGTAGCCCGTGGTCTTTTTCCATCAAAAAGGATATGTAAAAACTGTAAGGATCTTTTTAGTACTGTTGATTTTCATTTAATTATTGAATTTTTATAAGAATTAGAATGAGATAAATTTTGATAAAAGGTTTGTAAATAGATAAATATTTAATGATTAGAGGTTTAAGTTAACAACTGATATTGTGAGTGGCAGTATCCTCGAAGGGGGTTAAAGTACTGTAAAATTATTGTCTTCCTGAGAGGGTACGTAAGTCCCAAAACAATTATAGTAAATTTCAACGTACTACTTGTTTTTAACTGCAGCATATGTGTTCTTTTAATTTAAGGCTAGATTGTCAAAAATTGCTAACGGCTGAAGGGATCATGTAATCCCAGCTAGGGTCTATGCAGGAAGCAAATCCCCACGGTCCCTAGTATGGTGTTCTTCCATCAGTTGTTGCAATCTATAGCCTGTCTTTATACTGTATTGTCACTTACAGTTAAAATAGTTCAGATTTAATTACTAGTTTTAAATTCATATATGTAATAATCTAGTTGTTTTACTGTCCTTCTTTGAAAGATTTTAAAAATTTACTTTCAATTACTATAAATCCATAATTAGATTAAGTCACGATATGGCTGAAATAATGTGACTTAAAGTCTTAACTCACTCACTCACGTAGCCCGCTGTCGCCCACGATGCCTAAAACATCGTACGGAACATCGTAGACAACTTTATCGTACATCGCCCACGGCAAATGTGATCATTTCTCTCTCTGTGTGTGTGTGTGTGTGTGTGTGTGAGAGAGAGAGAGGGAGGGAGTGAGTGACTGTGTGTCTGAGTGAGTGAGTGAGTGTGTGAGTGAGTGAGACCATGTACGGTCGCGTACCGATACGTCGAATTTCTGATTTCAAAGTAGTACGAACACTGTGATCTTAGCTATCAATTAGTTATCCAAACATGGGATCATACCAAGAAAAAGACGCAAGGGGTGTTGGATGGTTTGACTCTTTATTTTTGTACTTTTGTAGAAAATTGAAATTGATGCATTAACCCTTGTCTTATGGCCGGGGTTCCAAACGGACTCCAAAACTATAAATATTGTGAATATATAATATCTTTGACCAGCATTTAGAATTGCTCAAGGCAATCAGATTCATTAACCTTTTTTCGGGTCTTTTAACTGGTGTGCCTACAGCACATTCTAAATGGATTAACAAAAAACTATTTTGAACTTATGCAACGGGAGCTTGGTGGTGATTACCCTGATGAAAGTGATGGTGGATCTGATGAAGATCATCAACCATCTGAAGGATCTGAAAGCCCAGAATCCGACTGTGACCAAGAGGATGACGCTACTTCCAACTGTCACAATGAGACTGATGTACAAAGACAAGCTCCTGACAGGTATGACAACCGTGATGGAAGACAGTGGTTCAAGGACCAAATGCCATTAGCTCGAAGCCTCAGAGAAATATTATTCGCCAGCTGAATGATAAGGTCATCAGTCAAAATCCAGTGGAAGCCTTCACTTTGTATGTCTGTCCTGAAATTGTTGATGGTATTGTCAAATGGACAAATAAGTTTGCTTAAACTAAGCTTGACACACAGTGGAAGCGAAACTATTTAAGAAAACATGTCGTCCAATCCAATACAAGTGTACATATATATTTATCTTGCCTCACACATAACTGTCGTTTTCTGAATGACTGAGCGCTCTTTAATAATTTTCAACGTACACCTTTACAAGACACTAACATTTTCCATGTACCCCGCTGGGAATGCCGAACTCATTTGGTACTTTGTAGTAGTAATTCTTTATCTCGAATAACATTGAATCACTTATGATGTAAGGAAATTACCTATGTTTT